GAGGGGAGGGGAGGGGTCATTTATAATCACCATATCAGATTCCCAGAGAGGTCAGGTAGCTGCCAGCCCTAAACCGCTTTGGGACTTTGAGGCTTGTGGCTAATTGTGTAGAACAGATAGTGCGGTTATGCAGTAATGTAGTGCTTGGTAACAGCCTACAGTCCCGAACTTGCGAGAATCCTTGACCCTAAGTCACATTTAACTCTTATCTGGCAATAAGACAGCGTAAAAAAGTAGATTTCTGAGTTACCCCAATAGCAAAACACAATGTGGGTAATAAAAAAAATGACTTAAGTCGCCGTGTCCTAAAAGATCATAAGATGAAGGTATTGCTCCATGAGAAACAGAAATTCATGTCTGTGTGATTATCCATCAGACTTGGTCTGCCCAAGCTGGGATGCACGTATTTAATAATGATGTGTCTTGTCAACACACAGGACGGGTACAGCTACCCTGTAACTGCTGCTGGTCATGCTGTAGGTCATCTTGTGTAAGCTGTATGATGTTTTTAATTCTGCTTTTGCCTCAATAAAATAGCTTTCTGTAGCTCGCATTGCATCACTTTCCCAAGAGAATGGGGACTCCTTTTTTTTTTCTTTTTAAATCCTCACCCAAGGATATTTTCACATTGCTTTTCAGAGAGGGTAGGGGGAAAGAGAAAGAGAAACATTAATGTGAGAGAGACACATCCACAATTGATTGCCTCCCGCACATACCCTGACCGGTCCAGGGATCAAACCTGCATCCGAGGTATGTGCAGCTGCCTGGAACTGAAGAACCTGGGACCCTTCAGTCTGTGGGCTGATGCGCTAACCACTTGAGCCAAACCAGCCAGGGCACTGCAAGCTTCTTTGTTCAGCATTTCGCATTTTTCTATCTTTATGAACTGAATTTTATAGCTAGTTATAGAAATCTTGAGATTTCTATTTAAAATAATCTAAAAAACAAAATGACAGAATTCCTTTGTGCTTTGAAGAATTTAAAGTAAAAAATAAAGTACTAAGTCTTTAGCTTGAGAGATAGGAAAATGGGTTGATAATAGACTCTGTACTCTGTATTTGAATCTGTAAGTCCTGCAGATTTGGGGTCCCTTTGTTTAAAGAATTGTATCAAGTCTTCACAGGGTTTTTCCCCTCCTTCCCCAGTGGCCTGCTTTGTGTTCCATTGACCATTGAAAAATATGTGAGCTTTACCTGCCAGCATGGCTCAGCAGTTGAGCATCGACCTATGATCCAGATCGTGGTTCAGTTCCTGGTCAGGGCACATGCCCGGGGTTGCAGGCTTGATCTCCAGTAGGGGGGTGTGCATGAGGCAGCCGATCAATGACTTTCTCATCAATGATTCTATCTCTCCCTCTACCTTCCTCTCTCTGAAATCAATAAAGATATATTTAAAAGAGAAATATGTTAGCTTTTGTAATTGCTTTGTTTCTCGTTAATACTTGAAGTGCCTCCCCTTTCAACTGTAGCAGTTTATAGGCTCACTCGTATAACATCTAAGCTGAAGAGCATGGAGAGTCTAGGCCTCCTTGTTTCTCAGCACATTGCTCCATTGTCCCTCACTTTCAACAGTGAATTTCCTTGGCATACCACCACCATATCTAGAGACCTTTCTACGCTGAGAATAATAATTTTCTCCCCCTTCCTAAGTGTCCTTCCTCTCTGAAACCAGTTCTGCATTTATCCTGTGGATTTTAGTGTTTCCTATCTTCTAAGACCTTGTACTTGTACTTGTACTCTGACCCTCTCTCCAGCACAGCTGACCTCTGACTCATTGGCTCTGTCCCTTCAGCATTTAAGTGTGCTCTGACTTCTTCCATAATTATAACCCTTCCTCTACTGCATGGTGCTTACCACCAGCTGCTTACAAATCCCTGTTTTTCCCTTTACCACAAGACTTCTTGAATACTTATCTATACTCATTCCTCATTCATTCTTTCACTACCAACTCATGCTTCAAGCCTTTCTAATCTGAATTCTGCCCCACAACTCCACCAGAGTTGCCCCTTCTGCATTTCCTCTTGAATGATTTGGAGGCACTGTCCAGATCCAAAACAGAATTTATAATATTTTCTGTCAAACTTGTTTCTTCTATTATTCCCAGTGTTAGTAAATGGCTCAAGCCAGAAACCTTGGCATCGTCCTTTATTCTTCTTGCTTCTGTTTTGCCCCACCTCACATCCATTTATTCACCAGGTCTTGTCATTTCTTGCTCCTTGCTCCATTCCTGGTGTCCTGGGCCACCATCATTTGTGGCTGTGGTTATTGCAGCACATCCTAGCTGGTCTCCTGTTTTGTTCTACCCCTTAAATCCCTTCCTCACACCACAGTGGGTGTAAATTTTTAACTCAAAATTGATATGCTTACTCTCCTGCTTAAAACTATTTACTGCTTTATCATTACTCTTGGCATGGCTCCAGAAGCCCATTATGATCTTATCCCTGACTGCCTTTCCAGCATCCCCATAGGTCACTGCTCCCACCACTTGAGACTTCCTACAGTCCTACTATGGTTATACCAGGCTATTCCTCTGACATATGCTGATTTCACCCCCTGGAATGCACCTTCTGTCCTGCCCCTTTTGGGTCTTAGCTTAAATGTCACTTTTTCCTCTTGTTTTTTTTTGTCCACCTTATGTCCAACTATTAAGAGGTTACTATAACACTTGGCATTTCATTAAACTCAGATCATTTTAACATAATCATTCAATGTCTGCCTTCCTCACTTGACCAGAAGTGCTGAGAGCATAGCAGTCCAGCACAGGGTCTGACATACAGTGGGTCCCTAATAAGTGCTTATTGAATGGGTGAGTGAATGAATGACTTAATGGAGAAACTAAGGCACAGAGAAGTAGACACTGTCACCTGCACTCTTGACTTTATCCAGTTGTTAGTCCTAGTTTGGGTTAACTAAAATGTTATTCAAAGAAAACAAACTCATACAGACGACATAATGATGGTTACCAGAGGAGGAGTGGGGTAAGGGGAGGAAGAGGAGGGTAAAACGGGTCAAATATATGGTGATGGAAGGAAACTAGACTTAGGGGAGTGAGCACACAATAGAGTATATAGATGACGTATTACAAAGATGTACACCTGAAACTTATATAATGTTATTAATGAATGTTACCCCAATAAATTTAATTTGAAAAATAAATAAAAATATAAAATAAAGTAAAATGTCTTTCCTCCCTCCTTTATAAGCCATAGATACTATGTTTACTCTATTGTTATGTTTTTGGTGAATAGTTGTCTTTTCTCTGTGGACTGGAGGAACCTTCTGCTTTAGAGTTTATCTGATTTAGAAATGCTGCCTAATCTCTTGATACTAAAAAAAAGTTACAAGGCAGTATTCAAATATGCCCTTGTACGTATCTCCAACTATATGTGGACAAAGAGGAGATATATTTATTGTTGCCAGGAGTAAAATTCTTGCCTCTTTTTCTTTTGTGTGTGTTTTTAGTTCTGCCTTTTCTTGAAGTGTCTCTCAGAAGAGCAGTTTTAATCAAGCCTTTTGACAAATATGTTTAAAAGAGTTACTTAAAAAAACATGCTTTCAATTTTGTGCCTTAGGAAACGAGCTGCTTGTAAGTCAGTGAATGGCTCCCACAAGTACAAAGGGAACTCCAAAGATGTCAAACCCCCAGACCTCTGGATCCATCATGAGAGACTGGAGCTGAAACCCATTGATAAGTCTCCAGATCCAAATCCCATCATGACTGATACTCCAATTCCTCGTAACTCTCAAGATATTACACCAGTTGACAATTCCATGGACAGCAACATCCATCAAAGGCGGAATTCATACAGAGGTGCTGGTTTTCCCCAAATGTTGGGAGACTGTTTTCATTTAAATCATTTTGCATTTTATCAGGTTGCCTTCGGTGATTCTTATAGGAGGTGAGATTTAAAGAAGTATGTATTACAGGATTTCTACAACGTCTGATGAAGGATAGCTAGCGTGTTGTGGGGGACAGGTTCTGTACCCAGATGAGACACCTTTTAGATATTTTAGGTCTCTCATTGGGCTTTACCAGCTTGATACTCAAGCATTTAAGAAAACCTAGCCCATGTCTGTGCATTGTATTCTGTTCCTTCAGTTGGAGCCCAGCTGTCATTGTGGTGTTCAGAATGTTCTTGGTCTGTGTGATCTTATAAACACCACAGTGAATCATGGTAGGCAGCTTTTTGTCAACTATATTGACTCTCAAAAAGAACTCTTGTAATGCACTAATGATCACTTTCTGCAGAAATACCTTGTCCTCGTTTTCTTGTTTGTGAATCCCCCACTAGATATGTTTTACTGCTGAGGCTTCTCAAAGTGGCCTAGAGCACATGCTTGTAACCAACTTCCATATTTGATGTCTAGGGCATGAATCAGAGGACAGCATGTCTACACTGGCTGGAAGGCGGGGAATGAGACCAAAAATGATGATGCCCTTTGACTCTCAGCCACCCCAGCGTAAGTTAAAAGTGTCTTTTCTCTGGTGCTACCAGTCTATTCAGTCAAGTTGGAGACCAACTGTGAATGACCTCTTTGACTTCACTTGATCCTGACACAGAAGATATTCTACCAGAGCTTTGGCAACTTGAGGGAAGAAGTATTAAAGAGTTGCCCTATTTTCCAATTAATATTGAGACTAGCTTCTTCAATTATAGGGAAATAAGCTAAAAAGCCAATTTCCCAGTCTCCTAGGAATAGGGAAGTAACCAGTCTCCCTAAAAGTGCAGAGCATCTGTGCAGGGGAGATGGGGAAACATCTGTCCAGGCTTCTTAGGCTTCCTGATGCACATTCAGAGTTGATAGGCACCTGTGGAATTTTTTTTAATTAGTAGACTTTTTATCTTAGAGAAGTTTGAGGTTGACAGTATGGAGTGGTTTATTTTGGGGTTTTTTTTGTTTGCTTGTTTGTTTAAACCTTCACCCAGGACATGCTTAGAGAGAGGAAGGGAAAGAGAAACATTGGTGTGGGAGAGAAACATTGATCGGTTGCCTTTCATATGTGCCCCATCTGGGAATTAAACCCGCAACCCAGGTATGTGCCTTGACCGGTGCGCAGGATAATCCTCAACCACCTGAGGGACTCTGGCCAGGCAACAGTATGGAGTTTTTAAAGCAGTATTTTCAACCTTATTTGACCCATGCCTCACTTTGATAAGGAAAGAAAGTTGCCCAACCTCCTATAGTAATATTTAAAATTCAAAATAAGTTAAATATCATGATTAAAAGCAAAAAAGCAGTGGAATAAACCTTCCCCCTCCCCCCCCCCAAACTAAGCCATTCAGAGTAGCTGGCACAGTTGTGCTTCCAGTGGAGGGTCCCCTGTACCATTCTAGATTAAGAATCCACTTCCTATCAGTATCAGTTTTACAAACTACTTGATACAGAAGTATTTGCTCTAACCCAAATGGTAGGCTAATAAGCCTCAGCACTGTCAGATACCTAAATTCAAATCCTGAAAGCATTAGATCCTAAAAGATAACTTTTTACTTTTAACCCAAATGAGCTTTTCAATTTTTCATTTATTTCTTAAAAGATGTCCGATTTCAGAACTCTCAGCCATTTCTTTGTCAGCAGTGTCAGAGATTTAAATAATCACAAATATCTATACTCACGCAGGCGCACCATTGCACCCTGTATTTGGGAACTGGTGGAACCCCTGTGCACGTAAATGTCTGCACACACACTCTCTCACTCATGCACAAACACTGTAGGCACTAGATGCTTTGAAAGAGTAAGGGCCTGTTCATGAATAGGTCATTTCTGCACAAAGTATGTTTTGCTTAGGATCCGTGATCAAAAGAAGGCCCCACACTTGGAATTGTGCAGGGGGAATCCATGGTTTCCCTCCTATAACAAGGTTCCCAGGTTTAAAAACACAAATATCCCAAAAGAATAAATCTATTCCAGTTGCTTTTGATTTATAAGAAGATGGTAGCTTTATTGCTTGTTTGTTTTGTATAAGACTTTAGGTCTTACCTGACTGGCTTATTGTTAAAACTTGCAAATTTTGACTATTCTTATTCCTAGATTTGGTACTTTTAAGTATGTTAAGGAGAAAAGATATGCTGTGCCAGTTGATATCATTCCTTTTTCTCCTTTTTTTGTTGTTGTTGTTGGTGAAGTATGAATAAATTTGCAGTATTTGTGCCTCAAATAGTTGGGCGGGTGAGTGGAATCTTTAAGAATCTGAAACCAGGTACCTGAATACTTTGATCTTAGGTTTGAGATACCCTTTTCCCCCCACGGCTACTGCCCTATAGTGTATACCCACCAGCCACCTGTGAAGGCCTTGCCCAGCAGCATTGGGTCCTTAATCGGCCAACAAATAATGATGGCCACCTCTTTTAGGCAGGCACTTTCACATTGCTTTATTTGTTATTTACTTCATTTGGGAAGACTGGAAATGCCTTTAAAGAGAAAAAGAGAGATTCCAAGATGACAGCAGATTTAGTGGAAGCTACACTGATACTCTCCCAGCACCAAGCTGGAATTACAACTAAAAATAGAAAAACCATCCTGAATAATCAACTGCAACTGAAGACGAGCTGGAGAGCACCCTCATAACCAAGGACATAAAGTGGAGACAGCATAGAGACTGGTAGGAAGTGCAGAGGTGCACGAGGGCTGGCTGGGCTCCCACAAGCAGCAGCTGAGGTTCCAGAGGGATAGCTCAACTGTGGTGAGTTCCCACTGAGAACTCTTAGGTCTAAACCCCAAACTGGGCTCCCCAGCCCAGAGCAGCAGAACTGAGAAAGGTGCCCACGTAATATCTGGCTGTGAAAATAGTGGGGTATCATCTGCCAGGGAGAGACAGCTGGAAATACAGACACCCTCTTAAAGGGCCAGTGCACAAAGTTTAGGGTGCAGCCACTCACCTGGTTTGGGGCAGAGGGAGGGCAGAGAGGACTAGAGCTGTGTGAGAAGAATCCAGAGATGTTGGCTTGGAGGATAGAGCTCAGAGGGCAGCCATCTGGGTTCCTATGCTGAGTCATTCCCCTATACTACAGAGAACATCTATATCAGGCAAACACCATCCAAGCAGCTTTTGCCTGGGGGGAAACAGTTGCCCCACCCTGTTGGAAAACCTCACCCCACCCTGTGGAATTTCTACAGTCTGAGTCTCATTAAGAGACTGAATAACAATCAGCCCCTGGGTGCTTTCCGTCTTTGCCTGATCTGCTTCTGGACCCAAGGCTTGGAAAAGCAGACTTTGGTGAACATCTTATCTTGGTCTTTTCCAAATGCAGCCAGCCCCAGCAGAGGGAACTACAAGCTGTGGAAAGTGGAAAGCTTCAAACAGTACTCCAGGCTAGTCACAAATAGTGTCTGATATTGACCTGCACCAGAGACCATCCAAAAGACTAGGAGTCTTAGCAGATCTACCTAATACATAGAAACAGGTCCAGACAGGCAGCCAAAATGAGGAGACCAAAAACCAAGCCCCAAATGAAAGAACAAAAGAATTCTCCAGAAGAAGAGATAAATGAAATGGAGATAAGCAATTTATCAGATACAGAGTTCAAAATACTGATTATAAGGATGTTTAACAGCATGAGAAAAGGAATGGAAACTATGAAGGAAAATAAGAATGACATAGTAGAAACAAAAAAAACATTGGAGCCCAGCTGGGCATAGCTTAGCAGCTGATCATTGACCTAGGATCCAGTAGATGCAGTTCGATTCCTGGTCCGGGCACATGTCTGGGTTGTAGGCTCAATCCCCAGTTGGGGGTGTGCAGGAGGCAGCCAATCAATGACTCTCTCATCATTGATGTTTCTCTCTCTCTCTCTCTCCCTTCCTCCCTCTGAAATCAGTAAAGATTAAAAACTAAAATGTACTAGAAGAAACCATTTCAAAAAAATAATTGCAAGGAATAAACAGCAGATTAGGGGAAGCTGAGGATCAGATCAGTGAATTATAAGACAGGGTAGAAAAAAATCAGAGAATGAAAAAGAGAAAACAATTAAAAAACAGGAGGACAGTTTAAGGGAGCTGTGGGACAACATGAAACATTACAATATGTGCGTCATAGGAGTGCCAGAAGATACAGAAAGTAAGCAAGGGTTACAGAACCTGTTTGAAGAAATAATGGCAGAACACTTACCTAACCTGGTCAAGGAAAAAGTCACACAAGTTCAGGAGGCACAGAGAGTCCCAAGCAAGAAGAATCCAAAGAGGTCCACACCCAGATACATCATAATTAGAATGCCAAATATTCAAGACAAAGTATTAAAGGCAGCAAGAGAAAAGCAATCTGTTACCTACAAAGGAGCTCCCATAAGGCTGTCAGCTGACTTCTCATCAGAAATTCTACAGGCCAGAAAGGAAGGGTATGAAATATTCAAGGTAATGCAAAACAAGGATCTGAAACCAAGACTGCTCTATCCAACAAGGCTTTCATTCCAAATAGATGGTGAAATAAGGAGCTTCCCAGACAGCCAGGCCAACATGGCTCAGCAGTTGAGCATCAACCTATGATCCAGGAGGTCATGGTTCATTTCCTGGTCAGGGCACATGTCTGGGTTCCGGGCTCCATCCCCAGTAGGGGGATGCAGGAGGCAGCTGATCAATGATTATCTCATCATTAATGTTTCTATTTTTGTCCCTCTCCCATCCTCTCTCTGAAATCAATAAAGACATATTAAAAATAAAAACAGCTTCCCAGACAAAAGAAGGTTAAAGGAGTTTATCACCACCAAACCAGCATTGCAAGAAATGTTAAAGGGACTGCTGTAATAAGAAGTTGAAGTAGAATGAGAAACATAGGCATAAAGAATTAAAATGGCAGTAGATAAGTACCTGTCAATAATAACCTTATATATAAAAGGATTCAGTGCTCCAATCAAAAGGCTTAGGGTAGCTGAATGGATAAGAAAACAAGTCCCAACTACATGCTGTCTACATCTACAAGAAACCCACCTCAGAACAAAAGACTAACACAGGCTGGAAAAAAAAAATCTTCTGGAGGACTTTAAGGGGGAGATTGACAGCAATACAGTCACAGTAGGGGACTTGAACACCCCACTGACTTTACTAGATAGATCTTCCAGACAAAAAATCAACAAGGGAACAGTGACTCTGAATGACATACTGGATCAGATGGATTTAATTGACATTTACAGAACATTTCATCCCAAAGCTGCAGAATATATATTCTCCTCAAATGCACATGGATCATTCTCAAAGGTCACATTAGGACAGAAGACAAGTCTCTACAAGTTCAAAAAGATTGAAAGCATATCAAGCATCTTCTCGGACATTTACACCTTCAAACATTATGCAGCTGTAAAAAAGAAGGATCCCTTACCCTTTGAAACAGCATGGTGTAGCCTGGAGAGTATTATGCTAATGGAAGTAAGCCAGTCAGAGTAAGACAAGTGTCACATGATCTTACTCATATGTGGAATCTAATGAACAAAATAAACCGATGAACAAAGAAGATCCAGAGACATAGAAGCATGGAACAGTTTGATGAATCTCAGAGGGAAGGCAGGGGTGGGTGGGGAGAGATTAACCTAAAAACTTACATGCATATATGCATAACCCATGGACACAGACAGTAGTGTGTTGAAGGCCTGTGGGGTCGGGAGTTGCAGGTTGGAAGGGATCATTGGGGGGGGGGAGCAGACATTTGTCAGACTTTCAACAATAAAGATAACTTGAAAATAGAGAAAGTCAGCTCTGCCTGGTGTTGCTCAGTGGTTAGAGTGTCAGCCTATGCACCGAAGGGTCACAGGTTTGATTCCTAGTCAAGGGCACATACCTCATTTGCAGGTTCACTCCCCTCCCCTGGTTGCGGTACATGCTGGAGGCAACCAGTCAGTGTGTGTCTCTCACATCAGTGCAATGTTTCTCTCCCCCCACCTTCTACTGTCTCTGAAAAAGCAATGGAAAAAATATCCTCACATGAGGATTAATAATAATAATAATGGAGAAAGTCAATTTTGTTTTTCTGTTGCGAGAGTCCTCTCTATAATGCTTTCAAGTAGGTAAAAATCAGGAGGCTTAGTCACCTCATCCTAGTCCTGATTCTGGAAAACACTGATTCTGAAGCTCCTGCTTCTGAAAACCATTGGTCTTCCCCTAGAAGAGATGCTGACTCACAAACTGTCCTGTGAACCCTCTTCAGCCAGCTTTTCCAAGTTGTATTTTATTCCAAAGGACCACTTGAGCCTTCTGGTTCCCCAGGTCTTGAAGAGGGGCAGTGAGACTCTGGGGTCGCTGGTTGGTTGTTCCACCTGCTTGTTTACAGGTGGCCAGAACAGGGGATGGCTGGAGAAGAAAGGCATCTGGTTTTGTTTGTTTGTCTGCTTTTCTTTAAAATATGTTTTTATTGATTTGGGAGAGAGGAAGGGAGAGAGAGAGAGAAACATCAATGATGAGAGTCATTGATCAGCTGCCTCCTGCATTCCCCTTATTGGGGATTGAGCCCAAAACCTGGGCATGTGCCCTTACTGGGAATTGAACTGGGGCCTCCTGGTTCATGGGTCAACACTCAACCATTTAGCAACACTGGCCAGGCAGCATCTGTTTTATTGACTGGGATTTTCTTCCAGGGTAATGTTGAGTGTCCCCACAAAGATCTAAGGAGATCCTTGGTGACAGAAGACATTTTCAGAGACTCCAAAGGCTAATTAAGTTTATCACAAAGTTTGTGAAGCCCTTCCTTAGGGAATGAAAGATCCCCTGTGTTCCTAGTCACCTCTACCTATTTACCTATTTGGGGGCTTTTGAGCTGGTTATCTTGATCTTAAACATTGTTTCTATGACTACTCTAGGGAGTGCCTAAGGAAAGTTGATTCACAAACTAGGCTTCTGATTTTGTTTTCATATCTTGGGTTGATAATGAAGCCTCATTAGTACAAGTTTTGTCTTCACATAACCTTGTATATGAAATATCTGTGTGGAAATTTGGATTTGTTAGCTAAATGCAGCAAATTGAATTTCTTAGTGTGGGAAAGAAAAAGGCAATTAGGAAAGATCCATGTGTTTTAAAATGTGAAAAGATGTGGTTGAGCTCCCAGGCTGGAAGTTGTAAGACAGTGTCATAGGCTGAGTTTCATGCTTTTACTACTAGATTGGACCATAAGAATCAGTTCCATTGCATTCCTTTTAAGATATGAAAACTGATTAAACAGGTATTCATTCATTCAACCTAAATACCTAGTGCATGCTTCATTCAACAAGTAAGAAAAGGCAGAATGAATTAGGAATACATGTGAAGGAGAAGGACTTACATCTTTCTAGCATGAGAAAGAAGTATAGAAACCTAAACCATCATTTCTTTGCTTATGGAGTTACATTATGTGACATTCAAATAGATATTTTTAATACCTCATATAATTCATGTTTATTGTAGAAAAATTGGAATTATAAACCAATAGAAAAAAGTGTTTTATTCCTGATACTGTTCTCCACAAGATAATCACCATTAACATTTTAGTATATATTCCTCAGACTTTTCCTGGGTGTAGAGAGAGAGAAATAGACAGGGGTATGCATGTTGATTTTTTAAAACAAATGTATAAAATCCATGGCTAATTGCCCACATCCAGCCAGCTGCCACCAGAAAACCAAGGGAGTGGTTGCATTGTATGGGAGGGGGAGGGATGATTTTGCTCTTGAAGTATGATTTGTGTGTGTCCGTGCAAGCATGTTAAGCATTTCTCTGTCTTGTGTTCATTCACAGCTGTGATTAGTGCCCATCCCATCCATTCCCTCGATAACCCCCACCATCATTTCCACTCCAGCAGCCTCGCTTCTCCAGCTCGCAGTCATCTCTACCACCCAGGCAGCCCATGGCCCATTGGCACATCCATGTCCCTTTCAGACAGGGCCAATTCCACAGGTGAGAGACGAGGACTGAGCCCCAGGTGGAAATCATTGCAAAAGAGTTGGCAAGCTGACATGGGGAAGGACTTGCCTGCTTAGAAGGATTTGGAGATTTTCTCAGTGTTTTATATTTATCATAACATTTCTATTCCTGACTCAAATTTGCTTCTGTAAAATTGGCCCCTTTTCCCCCCAAAGTTTTAAGTGCTCAGTACAAGTCATTTTAGTAAAGCACAATAGCTAATTACATAACCATGTCTTGTTCCAACCACTTGTATTTTAATTCACTTATATTTTAGGTTAGTTTATTTTTTTAACGGTCCAATTTGAAAGAAGACGCATTCTGGGTGATTTTCAGACACTGAAGGTCAACTTTGCCTTAATGATGGGAGGGTCCGTGCGGCAGCCACAGGTACTGCTCACAGTAGGTCTTACATACTCCTGCTGTGGAGCAGAGTGAGAACAGCATCCTGGGGCTGCGAGGCCAGCAGCACATGGAGTTGGTGCATATCGTAAACCTCAGGTTGTCTAGTGGGTTAGTGAAATGAGAAAGTGCTACACAGATAGGAAATTTGCCTAACAATCTGCAGTATATTTAAAGAAACACATTGACAGACAAACCTGTCCCAGTTTGGAAACCTTAAGAGACAGCATTATCAAAACAGTTTTATGGAGGAAATAGTGTAAGTGGGGGGACAGTAAATGGACTAGATATGATTGTTCCTCGTTAATTGAAAATTAATTTTCACCCTCTCAGTTTTAAAGTACAGATCTAATAATGGCTCATATATAGCATACACTTTTTCTATTATTTGAAACTTGTCTGTTAATAGTTATGATGTTACTAGTAGAACTAAGTGCTGGTGGTTCTGGACAATAAGAGAATTTCAAGTGAATTCCATTTTAAGAGAACCTCAGAACTTAATGTTAGAAGTTTGGCTTGCCAGTAGCATCCTGTCTCCTTTACATTTTGATCAATTATAAACATACCCAAAACATCAAATGAAGATCAAGGTTTTATTAAAGGGCTGCCCAATAACTCCCAAAGTTATCTCCTCCCAAACCTTTTCTTGGTGTGGAGAATATTGCTTGAACTCATTTCTAAAATTGGCCTTCTTTTTTTTTTTAAATACATCTTTATTGATTTCAGAGAGAGGAAGGGAGAGGAAAGGGGGGGCTGCCTCCTGCACACCCCCTACTGAGGATCGAGCCCGCAACCCGGGTATGTGCCCTGACCAGGAATTGAACTGCAATCTCCTGGTCCATAGGTTGATGCTCAACTGCTGACCCATGCCAACCAGGCCATAAAATTGGCCTTCCTACTACCTTCTCCAAATCCGAGTTTGGGGTTCTGCCTTTAGGGAAAGACAGTACACTAGAGGCTGTATGGAAAACCAGAGTCTGCCTCACAGACATAGTCTCCAATACAGCAGTGACCAGAAAGCCGCCCTCTAAACCTGCTCTTAGAAAGCAGGTGTCCTGTTTCTCCAGTTTTACGGCGGAGGATTCTCACACTAGGCTGTGGGCCTGCCTAAGTGCATGGCAGGCTCTTCCCATCTCTTTAGCCTCCTCTGCCTTCCTCCTGGATGGGGTGGGGGTGGGGGAGTGAAGGTTGGCAAGAAGTCTGGCAGCTCCCACCCAGCCCTCATCCTAGTAGTCAAGTGTTAGGGTTCCATTCTGTATGGACTTAGGCAGAAGTAAAGAGAGGAAAAGGAATGATTTGTATTACTAAAGGGTTTTTTTTTTTCAGTGGCCAGAGGGGATAAATGAAGGTGAAACTAGTGGTAGAGTCACTGAAGATGTAGAGCAAGTATCTAGAAGTAATCTGAGCCTCTTACTGCTGTGTTTTCCTGCGGTTCTGGAGCTCAGTGCTGCCAAAGCCCTGCGAGTATGGGTTCTGCATGATGAGAACCTGGCCAGGGCAGTCCTCACTCTAGTGACCACTTACTATGTCTTGTCCTGGAACATTTACTCTGTCACCACCACTTAACATAGGAAGAGCACTTTCCACTTGTCCAAGTTGATGACCAGTGTCAATTTTGTATGTCTTGAACAAATCTGAGAGGTAAGTCAGGAAGTCAGCTCCTTGCCAGCAAGAAGTTGTGTGTTACAGCATAGTTTTCCTCACAGACCAGTGGTATTGCACACTCTCAGGATACACCCTTCACAGAGAATACAGTGTGCCTGGTGCCCTTTGGAACTGCACAGTGAGGAACAGCACTGACTCATCCGGGCAGCCCTACCATCTCTCTGGCCTTCAGAAGCTTATCAAATTAAATTAAGGCAGTTGAGGCAGCCAAGGCAGGCCTGTGTGCCCAGAGTGACTTAACATATCTGCCAGTCCAGGCTGACGTGGTTCCAGCTGAAGCCTGCTTTCTCTCTCCTAGCCCCCTACTCCCACCCTCACCAGCTACCTTCAGGCCCAGGTCACACTGAGCAAGCGGACCAGCAGCTCCCATCTGTGGTGGTGGCTGGCTTAAGTAAAATCCTCAGCCACCCCTGGGGCTGGTAGGACTGTCACAGCCAGACTTTCCGCACTTGAGGAGGGTGGTGAGTTCCTCATCCCTGCAACTCAAGACCTTTGAGCTATGGCCTATCTCCTGAGAGCCCAAGGGAACAGATTTATTGCTACCTCAGCAACGACGACAGAGAAATAGGTTGATTTCTGCAGGTTGCTCACATATTGCTTCCTAAAAGGATTATTTTCTTTTTTTAAGGGTGAGAACTCTAGGAGTCAAGGGAGGCCATCTTTCTGGCTTCCTGATGCAGCCTCTTGTCCAGAGCTGGTGTCTTCCAGGCCCCTCCTCGGGGAACCAGCAGTGGTTTGCACCAGCTCCTACTGTTCTCATGTCTCCCTGTCCTGCTGCCGCCCCTGCATGTTCAGGGGACGGTGGCATTGGGATGGAAGGGTGGTATAGTCTGTGGTGGTTTGGAACTTGGGCTTGGGAGTCCAGCCCAGAATTCAGATTCCTACTTTACCTGTTCTCACTCTGTCCTAGGGCAAGGCCCAACCTCCCAGTGCCTTCTGAGTTACTTTGAGGATTGAATGAGCTAAAGAATGTAAAATTCTTCGCATAGTCCCTGGCTCAGAGTAAGCACTCGGTAATTTACAAAGAAAAGAACCTTGTTCAAGCCTTATGTTCAGCACTTTTCATAAGTCTTCTCAACTAATCCCCAGTGAATCATGTGTTATTCTTCCTGTTTTGTAGGTAAAGAAACTGAGACTCAGATTTGGTAACTGACAAGTTCACCCAGCTAGTGTGCCAAGATTAGAGTCCAGGTGTATTTGATCCAAAGCCAGTGCTTTTTCCACCCCACCGTGCTGCCTTCCAGAACAACTCTGTCCCTTTTTCACATATTTTGAGATTGTTACCATGTTCTTCCTGAGCGTTCCCCTTCTCTAGGCTGACCTAACCCTATTTCTTTCTCTGACCCCAGCACCCTTCATATGGCATAATCTTAATGCTATTTGTAGACCTCAGGACTAGTTGGTTGTCCAGGTCCCACTTGAGCTGTGGGGCTGTTGCCTTGGTGAGGCTCTGCACAGTCCCCTGAGGGCAAACAGGGCCTGTGGCATTACCTCTGCTACAGTAACCACCAGGCCTTGCGGGCAGAGTTGGTACTTGTCTGATACCCAGCCAGCCTTGGTGACAATGAATGAAACTTTAAATTTTCTTTTATAATTATTTACATCTTAATAGACAGTAGCCTCATGAACCTTTGTATGTGCTCCATACTAAGTACCGAACAAAACTTCATAAAATTATGATGACTTAGCTGTGTAGGTGAAAAAATTCCAGCAGCTGGTTGACAAAATTCTTTGGGATTCTTTTAGATAAGTTTATTCTTAACCTTGGCAGAGGTGCTAATCCATGGACCTTGGTGCTTATTGAGCTGCTTTCAGGGGCCCTGGGATGTACATATGTTTAATGGTTTTTAAAAATGCTAACATCTAGACTTTCCCACTATAGAATCTGTTCGAAATACCCCCAGCACTGACACCATGCCAGCTTCCTCGTCTCAGACATGCTGTACTGATCACCAAGATCCTGAAGGTGCTACCAGCTCCTCTTATTTGGCCAGCTCCCAAGAGGAAGATTCAGGCCAGAGTCTTCCTACCGCCCACGTTCGCCCTTCCCACCCACTGAAGAGCTTTGCTGTGCCGGCCATTCCACCCCCAGGTCCTCCCACCTATGATCCGGCGCTGCCAAGCACACCATTACTGTCCCAGCAAGGTGAGTGGGGACAACAGCACTGGAGGAACCCTTTGGTTCTGGCTTATGGCAAAAATGACCTCTTCTTTAAAGAATAACAAAGCAGCCCTGGCCAGTTTGGCTCAGTGATTAGAGCGTCAGCCCACAGACCCAAAGGTTGCGGGTTCAATCCTGGTTAAGGGCACGTACCTCAATTGCGGGTTCCCCATCCCCAGTCAGGATGTGTGCAGGAGGCAACCAGTCGATGTGTCGATGTTTCTCTCTCTCCCCCTCTCGCCCTCCTCCTCCCTCCCTCCCACTCTCTCTAGAAATCAATGGAAAAAATATCCTCAGGCAAGGATTGGGGGAAAAAAAAAAAAGTAAATACCCTCCAAGCATCTCCTAGCAATTTAGAGTAATGGTGTCTCCCCACTCAGGTGGGTGTGGTCTCCCTCCTGTGGGAACCAGAGACTAATTGGCCAGGGAGTTTTTAGATTGTTTTGGGTGCAGGATTTTTGGTGGTCATATCCAGTGGCATGGCTGTGAGCAGCAGATCTCTGCTCAGCCTCCCAGAATTGCCTCCCTCCACAGGGGTCCCTGCAAGCCAGAGGAGAGCAAGAGAAACAAGGAGGAACCTTAGGAAATGAATTCCCTGAGTTCACACAGCCAAACCAAAGTCCCCTAACCTCAAAGGCATACTTTTCCCCTACTCTTCCACATTATTATCTATTATGGTGGTTTGTTTCAGAATAAGTCCGTGGTTTTTAAGCTTTTTGGTCTTAGGACCCCTTTATACTCTTAAAAACTATCAAGGCCACAAAAGAGCTTTTCCTCAAAATCTACTGTATTAGAAATTAAAACAGAAATTTTAAAACTATTTTATTCATTTAAAAATTCATCTGCCCTGGCCGTTTGGCTCAGCTGGTTGGAGTGTCATCCCGTACACCAAAAGGTTGCGGGTTTGATCCCTGGTCAGGACACATATGGGAGGCAACCGTTCTCTGTTTCTCTCTCTCCCTCTCCTTCTCCCTTTCTCTCTCCCCCCTTCCCCCTCTCTACCCTTCCTCTCTCTAAAATCAGTAAAACATATCCTCAGGTGAGGGTTAAAAAATAATAATAATAGCCCGGCCAGCATGGCTCAGAGGTTGAGCATCAACCTATGATCAATTCCTGGTCAGGGCACATGCCCGGGTTGCGGGCTTACTCCCCAGTAGGGGGCGTGCAGGAGGCAGCTGATCAGTGACTCTCACTGATGTTTGTCTCTCTCCCTTCCTCTCTCTAAAATCACCAAAATATATTTAATAATAACAATACATCTGTCATATTAAGAAATAGCTTATTTTAGTGAAAAATAACTTTTTCAAAACAAAAATATAGTGAGAAGAGTGACATTGGTTATATTTTTGCACAGCAGCTCTTTAATATCTGACTTAATAGAAGAGAGCTTCAGTCTCCTATCTGCTTCTGCATTCAGTCTGTTGCAATATGTTTTTTTGTTTGAAGTATAAGAAAATCTGGCCTCACAAATATGTGGTCAGAAAAGGGAAGAGTATTTTTATAACTTTTTCAGATAACTGCAGATATTCTTTTTTGATACTATAGCAAAACTCAGCAGGTTACATTTATAATGTGGAATTAGAAACCATCTCTGTTCCATTAAAATCCATCTGACTTGTACTTTGAATGCATGATATTGAACACACACATTAGTCATTTGAAAAAATGTTGGTTTACTAAGTTGTACAGATCCTTCAAATCTTGATACATTTTATTATGTAATATCTAAAAATACATTCATTAATATTAACAAACTCTTGGGAAGTTATCAAATTCACGGTGGCAGCCCTGGCTGACATGGCTCAGTGGTTAGAGCATCAGCCTGGGTACCGAAGGGTTTTGGGTTCGAGTTCTGGTCAAGGGCACATAGCTGGGTTGCAGGTTCCATCCCCAGCCCTGGTCAGGGTGCATGTGGGAGGAAACCAATCAATGTGTGTCTCTCACATCAATGTTTCTTTCCCCCCTTCTTCCCTCACCCCCGCTTCCACTCTCTCTAAAAATAGAGGGGAAAAATATCCTCAGGTGAGGATTAAGGGAAAAAAACAAAGAAAAACTTACGTTGGCAAGGTTTTAAAAACTCTAATTTTACTTGAAACTTAAATTTTGTCATTGGCAATAAATATTGTCCATTGTTTTCCTTGAAGTGTCTGGCTCATTTCATTCACTTTCTAGAAAATGTCTGCCAAATGCTCAAGTCCAGATTACTAGCTTGTCAGTCTTTCTTTGAACTAACATTGGTGTTCATGATACAAGTGCCAGTGCAGCTCACAACTCAGGCTGCCATGGGTGCCTGCGTGGAAGATAGTCCTCACACATCTGTGTACAGCAGCAGTCCTGTGTGCATACTTTCTGCTTTGTCACAGAATATTTAAAAGATGTGTGATCAAGGTCCAGATTTAATAAAATAATTTTTACTATTTCATTAAGGATGATCTTAAGTTAAACGGACTGCTTTCTAAACTGCAAGTGTGTATCAGCAAGTGACTTTATAGTTTGGGGCCACTGCCTTCATTTCTGCTCAGGCTCCAGCAGTTTTTCCCCACCGTTGTTTTTGTATCATTAATGTAAAGGCAAAAAATACCTTAGTAGTAGTATGAAAAGAGTATAATCTACCAGACATCCTGAAAGAGTCCATGGACCACTACATTTGAGGCCCACTAGACTAGTAAGTTAGTTTTCTAAAGCCAAATAGTATATTTCCTCTGGCCTCTTGGATGCCCTGCTTCCTCCCTGTCCCATCTTGTTCCAGTGCCTTCTCAGAGCAGGATTGCAGCCTTTGGACCTTACATCCTTTTGTGAGGTCTGGGTGGGAGCAAGTTTAACTACACATCTGACGGTGCCCTTTCCCCTCAGCTCTGAACCATCACATTCACTCGGTGAAGACGGCCTCCATTGGGACTTTAGGAAGGAGCAGGCCTCCTATGCCCGTGGTGGTTCCCAATGCCCCTGAAGTGCAGGAGACCACAAGGATGCTGGAAGACTCCGAAAGTGTAAGTTCATGGGCCATCAGCCCAGCCAGGATGTCTAGGGGCATGTCCCAGGGCCCGAGAGTGTGCTAATCACACTGATACTGTGCTGCCCCAGAGTGTGAAGCGGGTTCACTCATTCGCTCCCTAGATGGGCTTGATGGAGCATCTCTCCAAGCTGGGAACTGTGCTGAGGCTTTAATTTGCTTGATTTCTCTCATACTCTCTGATGAATCTTGAATTAGCTTGAATCACCAGCCCAGGTAGTGATTTTTTTTCTCTCCTGCCCACCCCTGCCTTCCTTTTAGTCTGCCCTATCTCTCTGGTCCTCTTTTCTTGGTTTGAATCATCCACTGTTGTTTCACCCTTCAGTCCCACTTCATGACCTTTTCTGAGCAGGATGCTAGAGGGGAAGGTACTAGAGTGGATGCTCTCAAACCAGAAATCAACAGGGTCTCTCCTTGATTTCTCCCTCTCACATTCCAATAAATACATCTGCCTCTGTATTTTCAAGTACAGGACTCTTTAAGAGGAAAGCTTGGGACCAGAGATTATGGTACATACCAATTGTATTGATTGTGGCAGAGACCTAGACTGGCTGAGCAGCTTGTGACCCTGGACAGAGTGTGTTGGAGGAGAGGCATTTTGCAATGCGAGGATATGAGTGATTGCTCACTTGGGGGCTTAGTGGCCTGGGCACCTCCTGCAATCTCTGACACCACTGGGCCAGCTGGGGTTTCAGTTATCTAGTCTCTTGGGGCACTTTGTCATAGACTCTTTGACTCTCTCTCTGGGCTCTCCCTGTGAATGGCTCCTCAGGTCACACCCAGCAACAGTGTTCTCTTTTCCGTAGAGCTATGAACCAGATGAGCTGACCAAAGAGATGGCCCACCTGGAAGGACTAATGAAGGACCTAAATGCCATCACGACAGCATGACGTCCTTCACCAGGACGTGACTCCAGAACTGAGTCTAGAAGTCTTGGGACTTAGCCTTGGAAACAAGGAATTGTACAGAGCTCTACAAGGGGACAGCACTTGAGAACACAGAGTGAGCATGCAGACCAGCTGGCACCCAGAGTCGGGCTGCCTCCAGCTGTGGCCACGTGCCTGCCCCTGGTCAGCCCGGAAGAAGCACATGTCGAGGCAGCTTCCCTTTACCTGCTGACACCCTGCAGGACTGGGCATCGTGGGCCAAAGCTGCGTGTCTAGGGAAGGGGCAGGACATGCAGCCTCCATTTCACTTCGTGGTCAGGCTGTGTCTTCGTGCTGTGACTGCATCGCCTTTGTGGAGTGTTGACATTGGCATTTATGTACAGTTTTATCTGGGTCCTATTCTACCTTCAGAAGAAAAACTATCAAAACCAAGGAAGTCCGTGTTCTCCACAAGTGGTTGACATTTGACTACTTGTCTGAATTGTGTATGGAAAGTCATCAACAGTGTGGGTTGTTCCAGGGGTCGGCTTGTTTTTTGTTTTGTTTTTTAATTGAGTCATTGCATCCTCTACCAACTGCTAACCCATCACTCTGAGGGGGAGGAAATGTTGCATTGCTGTTTGTAAGCTTTTTTATTATTTTTTTAATTTTAATTATTAAAGGCCTGACTTTCTCCTCTCATCACTGTGAGATTACAGATCTATTTGAATGATATGTAACATTGAAAGGACTTGTTTGTTGCTTCTGTGCAGTTTCAGTATTGGGGTGGGGGTGGGGAGGGTTGGGAATAGGAAGTGGAGGGGCTGCTGAGGTCCTGTGAGTGTATCTGTCATTGTACCTTCTTCCAGAAGCCTGCAGAGAATGGAAGCATCTACGTTATTGTCCCTTCCTGGCATGTCCATCTCTATTGTCACTAAGTTGCAACTAGAGTTTCATGTGGACCTAGTTTAAAAGTTCTGTGCAATAGGTGGGTTTGAGGATTTAGCTGCCCCAATGTCTTGGTCAGATCCTGATGAGAGTGCCCGTGCTGAGCGTCAGGTACTGTATTTCCACTTGCAGGAGTGATGCAGAACAAGGCCCAGCCCTCGCTCCTAGGCATTCAGAGAACAGGGTGGATCCCTTTTCCTGCTGTTATCATCTGTTCCCACTGGGAAAGCTGGGGGTTAAGGAAGGAACTTTGTTTCCACTTAGGACTCCTTGCTTCTCTCCAGTTCCTGTCCTCAGCTGGTCCAGCTCTCACTTCCACGGTGCAGAACCCCTTAGGGAAATCATTAGCAAGAATGAGGCACGCAGGGGCTGCAGTACCCCTGAGGCTCCCCGCTTCTTTCTGAACGAGGACAGGGACAGTGGAGAGGGCACAGGAGGCAGCTGCGCCTCCTCCATCCCACAGCTCCACGAAGCCCTTGGTTAGAATGGGCAGCAGGAAGTTTCTGAGGTACACTGAGTGGCCTGGCCATACACAGAAGCCTTTCCCTTTACAAGTAATTCTTGTCTTTTTCTTAAAAAGGTAAGGAGCTGAGATGTTAAGAGTTTTTTTAAAATACTAAGAATATATTATGAAAAAATACAGTACAGACCCCCTCCTCCCCAGCAAATCCCCGGAGAGAGTGTGGAAGGCAGTATAGAAGGCCAGCCAAGAGGTCAGCTGGTGAGCGCAACCGTGGGTACCCCAGCCCACCTGCGCTGGGGCCCTGAGCACAGCCCCACCCCACAGGCATCCCTAAAGTTATTTTCCCCTTTTAGGTCTTCTCATCCATTTACTTTGTTAGACGATGAACTCTTCGTATTTATTATTTTGGGGCAATGAAAAGTGCAATGCTGGCACTCCTGCTGCCGTGCTCCTGGTCACAGGGTGGTGCCAGGCAGGGTTCTGCAAGACCAGTGCACTTAAACGGATCCTGAAAAGAGCACTCCAAGCACTCTGGGCACCAGGAGGGCTGATTCCCCAGGAGCTGTCTCACTTTCGCCCAAAGAAATGTGCTCCGCGTTCAGGGCATTTCCTCCCATGAATCCTGACACCTGTTACCTCAGGGCCTTGGTACCTGGACACTACCACAGAGCTGGGGCGGGTGGGGGGCCTATTTTTAAATAAAGTAACTGCTCAAAGTTGGGGATTTTTTAAAATTAAGAAAAAGGAAAGCTATTCTGTATTGCACCTTTTCACAATTTAATACATTTTCTTACATTTCCTGTGATTTTTGAAATGAAACCATCGTGCGTCTTGTCCTAGGTGAACAGCTGATCAGCAGCTTCCTCCGGGAGGATCTGAAACAGATATGTCTCCCTCCTTGTTGCCTGCTGGGGGGCTGGAGGGCTTCTGGGACAACTTGCTGTACACATGTTCGGCCTTTTCTGTAGTTGATATTGTAAACTCTATGGCTTTTAAAACACAATTTCATGTTTTTATTTAGTATTGGAAATCCAATACACTTTTTTAATCCAATCAAACTATGGTCAAAGAGTTGTTTTCCTTTTTCCGTAAGAAAACAGAACTTTGGGGTCCCCTGTTTCCCAGCCTTAAATTGAATTCACTTTGTCCCTCACAACTATAAAGGTGGGTTCTCAGGGGCATCGTAGAGGTGTCGCCAGTGATCCAAGAGGCCACAGGCAGAAGTTGTTCACTAGTCCTGTCCCCACCCCTCATTGCTGCCCTGCAGGGACTGAGCAGCCTGAGGAATCACAGGTGACTCCTTCAGAAAGAGCTACGTGAGCCCAGCAGCAAAGTGCAGCCACTGCTGAAGAGCGTGTCAGCCAAGTCCCTGCTGTGGCAGCGCCCTGGGCAGCAGCTCATTCTGGTGGCACACAGAGGCCTGGGCCTTCCTGTTCCCAACCCCCCTCATGGGTGTGGGGTGCCTGGAACAGGCATCTGCAAGGAGTCCCACCTTTCTTGGGCTGCCTCACCTGACTGCTCTGTGCCTCAGCTCAGGCTGCTATAACAAAAATGCCATAGACTGGGGGTCTTAAACAGCAAACATCTATTTCTCACAATCCTGGAGTCCGCAAGTCCAAGCTCCGGGTACCAGCAGATGTGCTGGTGTCTGCTTCCTGGTTCATAGATTCATAAGTGTCTTCTGTGTCCTCACGTGGCAGAAGGAAGAGCTCTCTGGGGTCTCTGTTATAAGGGCATTAATCCCATTTCATGAAGGCTTCACCCTCATGACCGAGTCACCTCCCAAAAACCCCACCGTCGTATACCATCACATTGGGGATTAGAATTTCAACATGTAAATTTGGGGAGATAAAAACATTCAGTCCATAACGCTAAGATATCTCATGGAGTACAAAAGTCTGGGCTCAGAACAGTGATGAACACAACAGCCATAGGCCTGCCCTTCGTAAACTTGCAATACAGTGAGGGCTGGACATGGAGCCCAGTGTCCTTACTAACTGCTCACTTGCCCCCGGGACTTCATCTGCTCCGCTGCCAAGTGTACTTTATGAAACTTAAATCCCATCATTCCCATTAGCAGTGACCCACTGGCCTCAGTGGAGTCAGAGCTCCCAGTGCTAAAGCCTTTGCTAATCTGCCACAGCCCCCAGGTCCAGACTCATGTCACCTGGGCATCCAGTACTCCAGCCATGGAAAGCTGTTTGGGAAACTTCAACCTTAGGGAACGCACTCTCCACTGCTGTTACTATTTTAACCAGAGACCACAGTGCTGCCTACTGCACATCCTTAGGTAACACTCGGTGCATTTTACACTGATTTATCTGTCAGTCTCTACGCTGGACTGTGAATGCAGTGGGGACAGATTTCTCACTCTCTGAATACCTAATGCCAGCAGCAGTTTCTGGCAACAGCAAAGCTTGTCTCCTGCCTGGATGGATGGACAGACAGGAAGACGTGGCCTGGAGTGTATTGGAAAGCTTCCCACACATTCAGCACCCTGCTCCCCTTGGAGGGATCCAGGGAGGCCCCTAGTGACACTGTTATAAGGACCCTCCCATTCCAGCAGCCATGGCACTTCGGTGTCCTGGCATGAAGTTGGATGATACAAAGACCTGTCTGCCTGGCAGAGTCATAAGAAATGATCCTGGTGTCACAGTGACCAACAGGGTGCTGGGAACCAGGGCATGGATGTCCTCCGGATTGATCTAGGATGAACATTATGAACAAGGCCTTCTGTGAAGAAGAAATGCCCTCTTTTCCCAGGCCATTAGCCCCTCCCAATTTCTGCCACTTTCCTGTTGGAGGGCATGATCTCATGAGGAGAAAGACTGGAGAATAGCACTGAACAGCCCTCAAATTGATGGGGAAGAGGTATGGGAAGGGGATGGAAAAGCAGGAGCCACGAATGACCAGCCCTATGCACACGAAGGGCCCGGACAGTAGGTGCCCATCATTTCACTTTGGGTGTCCAGCTACCAAAGGAGGTAGCCCACCAGTGGGACTAGAGGCAGAGGTGGAAGACTGTAATTGAATGAAAATAATGTATTAAAATAACCTTTAAAAGTAATGTTGAAAAAAATATTTAAAACTGATTACCCTCTAAGCAGAGTGGATGGTGTTCATCTCAAAATGCTCTTTTAGTCAACTAGAAATTTTATGCGTTTCAGAAATGAAAAGATGGGCCTAGAGCTCAGCTCAGACACAGTTGGAGGGAGCTCTTGCTGCAGTAGAGAATAAGAAGAATTTGTAACTTCCTGAAATATCTCGAGGGTGGGATCTTAGCCCTGGCAGCAAGGTGTAATCAACAAGATGGTGAGAGAATGAGATGCTAAGTGGGAAGTTCCCCCAAAGTGAAGTGACTGTCCTTGAGGTGCCCCAAAGGACTTTTTAAAATGAGACCGGAGAGGTAATGTCTTCTCACACCCTCCATCTCCGTGTCCTGCAGCAAAGCCCGTAGGTATGCATGCTAGTTTGTTACTGGGTCTACCCTTCTGTGCACCTGGTCCCCAAAGGGGCAATTTGGGAGCCATTCTAAACTCTTTCCTCACACCACAGCACATGACTCAGCAAATCCTGTAGCTCTTTCTCTCAAATGTCCCCCAAAGTGGCTCTTATTTGTCATCTCTGAGTCAACTCATTGAACCCTGCCCCCTCCAGCCTCAGGCGCACACAACTGTAGAGGTGATTTTTCTAACTCCAATCTGACCTCTTTCTACCCTGCTCAACATTCTACCCTACCCCACCCCCACCATGTCACATGCCCTACAGAATGGAGTCCCATGTGGCTCTGTGTGCCTCTTAGCTTTTATTTGCCACTTAATCTTCCTTTTCACCCAAATTTGGCCCTAGCAATACATAGCAATTTGCACTTATAGAATAAGGTATGATATCTAACCTCTTACTATTCCTTTTGCCTCAATGCTCTCCCCACCCCCTCCCTCATTGCTGGCTTTGTTTGCCTGGTAAATTTCTACTCATGTTTAAAGATACAGCCTAACCATCCAGTCCCCTGATTTTTCTTGTTCATATTTCTGTCTCTTCCACTACATGTAACCCCTGAAAGAAAACAATCATGCTTGTTTTGGGATTCTCCATCCCAGGGCCTGGCACACTGTACATGTTCACTAATGAACTTGCCTGGTGAGGAAGATGGCCCAGTACTGGGGGAATTTGACAAAGTCTGAGTTCTTTCTGGGAGCATATACTCAGAAAGGTTTTGCAGAGGAAATGAGGCTGAGCTGAGTCTAGGAATTTATACGAGGCTATCTATCTGGAGGGAGAGAAGGCCACTACAGAGCCGAGAAACTGCGTGCTTCACATGACCGTCAACACAGCAATTTCAAGAGAACCAACCTGCATCACACTGAGCCTGAGGCCTCTCGGACTGTGCTCAGCCTCCTGTGATTGGATGAAGCACTGGGGCCCCAGCAGGCCACTGCGGAGGATCTGGAGGATGCGTGGAGCTGGTGCTATCCTCCCCAAAGCCCTGGGACACTACAAGGGCAATTCTGTGCCCAGCCAAGCTGGATTTGATTGGCAAGGTACCACAGGTGGAGGTCAGGTCCAGTGAGTTAAGAATAAGGCGGGTTCCTTGCATAAACTCAAAACCCAGGTCTCCCAAGAGGATTCTGGGGAGCTTTCTGAAAGAAACAGCTGGGATTCATTCCTGAAGGCAAAATGATAGATCAGGCTCCCGTAAACAAAGTTGCCTCAGAAATGGCAGGAGAACAAGCTGGTGAACATTCTAGCCACACACAGAAGGGAAAAATTGGTTGGAACTGAAACCAAAGAGATCTCCGGTGTGGGCAGGTGGAGTAAGAGAATGAATACTTGGGCCTGGGCAGAAAAGGGTCTTCCTCACCCAAGAAGCTGGGAATCATTCATGGTTTCACAAATATTTCTGAAGGCCTTCTGCGTGCCAGGAACTGAGGGTGCACAATGAGTAACAGCCCCCATTGATGCCTTCAGACACTTAACAGATAGAAATTACCACCTAGCAGGAAAGTGCTAAGACACCTGGCCAAGTGATTGGGCAAAGCAAGGAAAGAACTTCCAACCCTGACTGCAGAGTCAGTCTGGGGTCACAGAGTAATAACTCTGAGAATGGTGGGGGTTCACCAGAGAAAGGAAATGGGGTTTCTTTTAGCATTGCTTGCAGTCCCTCTAAAAGGCAGGGACAATTCAGATACTGGTCAAATTACAAAGAAATGCTTTTAAATTATTTGATCAAAAGAAAGCAAGGGAATTCCCCGGCAGAGGATCAGAAAACTGAACCCACGTGGTAAATGAAAAGGGAAGCTGCCACTTTCCTGTGGGAAAGCCTAACACCAGAAACCTGAAAGCCGGGAGAAAAGCCACCCTGCGCTGCAAGGGAGACCCTCCTGAGAGTGTGGCCCAGGAGAAATCAACCTGTCAGGAAATGGCACCAAAGGGCAGCCTGACAGGAACTGCTGTGCTTGAAAACTAAGGAAAAAATCCTCATCTCCCTTGAGCATTTGTTGAAGATTGTTATATCTATATTCATAAAAAATATTCGTCTGTAGTTTTCTTTTTTGTATTTTTTTTTCTCTGGTTTGGTATCAGTGTAGTACTGGCCTCATAGAATAAGAAAAGTGTTCCCTCTTCTTCTACATTTATAAGGGTTTGTGAAAGATTGGTAGTCTTTCAACATGTGGTAGAATTCACCAGCGAGGCCATCCTGGGCTTTCCTTTATGGGAAGTTTTATTACTAATTTAATCCCTCTGCTTGTTATATGTCTATTCAGATTCTCTATTCTTTATCTAGTTTTGACAGTTTGTGTTTCTAAGAATTTGTTCATTTTATCCAAGTTATCTAATTTGTTGGCACACTTTGTTCATAGAGTGTTCCCTTTTATTCCTTTTTATTTCTTAAAGGTACATAGTAATATTCCCTCTTTCATTCCTGAGGTTACTATTTTGAGACCTCCCCCCCCCCCCCC